TGAACGTGCGCGATATATTGTCACGGTTAATAAACAAATCGTTGTCATATATAAAATGTCCCAGGTTCAAATCCCAACGTATTTTTAAGTATATAACCATAATTTTACATAAAAATTGTGGTTATATTATATATTATCCACTATACAACCACGACCATAATAAAAAACCGTCGTTAAATTTTATGCATTTTAAAAAAATAAATTTCTACATTTTGAAAATTTTCCATTTTTTAACCTATATTGATTAAACTGTAACAGAACGGAAACATCAATTTAAGATGCATATTAAAACACTCAATCTCAAATACTTATTTATTTTATCAAATTAAAAGTATTATTTACAACACCCAAACTCAAATGTATATCAAACTGTAACATAATAGAAACAACAATTGAAGATGTATATTACCAACATTCAAGCTCAAATACTTATTTATTTCATCAAATCAAAAATGTTATTTACAACACTCAAACTCAAGCAAGCACGTCGAAATGAGATTTCACTATCTTTGTAAGCAGGTAGCAGAATGGAAGATGAACTTGGAACACTGCAGAACTGAGAATTAGATTGCAGATATCATGGCGAAAAGAGTGAATGTCGAAGTGTTCAAGAAGCTAAGGTTTATGGTGAATGTAGATAGCTTAGACACAGTGAATTAAGTGATGTATTGAATTGTAATTTCTTGCGTCAAAGCAGTGTAGCTCGACAGAAATAAGGTCTAGTCGAATTAGCCTAATGTCTTTGTGTCAAGTTGTATTAGTGTGTCGAAGTGTTAAAGCAGTTTAAGAAGATACTCTTTAATGCTATCAAAAGTCGAACAAACTCCAAGTTAGAGTTTCTAATAAAGTCCAATGATCCGTGACTCGGACAAACAACCAACAATCCACCAATTTAGGATTTTATGGTTTTGATAGTTATTAGGTGTTATTCAAGAATGTGTGAATAAGATGAACAAATGAATATGACATGAATATGAATAGGATACGAATAATGTACTAGATATATAATAATATAAATAAGATAATATTCACAATAATAGTCAAGATAAATATTAACAACTATATGAACAAGATAATATAATCAAGATAATATTCGACAGAAAAATAAAGCAGTTCTATATTGACGGAAAGTAAAGTTAGTCGTTAGTTTGTTATTGAATTGAATCGGGATGAAATGTAGTGCTAAACCGTCGTAGCTCGACTTATGAAGAAAGTCAAACTATATGAGGTCGCATAAATTGATATTTGTGCTAAAAACACGATGGAAGAATGATATTGAGGACCATTTTCCGATGTAATCGTGTCACAGGGACGAAAAGAAAGGTGAGATCTCGTCTTAATCACAAACTCGTGTTAATTAATCGAGCGTAACCTCTCACGATCACAGTATGTAAAAATGATCCAAATGATCATTTTCTACAAATTTGAAATAATGAAGGTTAACAACCTCGAAAACTAACATTCGTGAATCGAAAGATCATAGATCAAAAATAAAATAAAATCGAGATGGAGATGAAAATGAGAGGAGAAAAAGAAAATGGTCTTGGACTAATTATTATTTATCAATAATTAGACTAATAATAATTTTGGAGGTCTATTCATCAACCAAAAAAAATTAAAAAATCAAAATCAAAATCATCACAAAATCAAAGCATGAAAAATTTATAAACTTAAATAAAAATAAAATTTCTATCAAGTTAAAAAGAGTTGAAAAAATCAATAGAAACTAAAAAATTCTCAACTAAATAATATCAAAACTTAGAAATCATTTTTCAAACAAAAATAAAATCTCAAATAAAACAATGGAAAAAAGGGGGTGCGGTGAGCTAGTCACAAGGGTGTGAATCTGGGAAAGCTCAAAGAATCATATGGGCTTTACAAAAGCCCATCAACCTATACTAGAAAAATACACGGTTAAAAAAAAACAAGGGTGTTTTGAGAACCAAAAGGGCTATTAAGCCCAAGATCCAAGAAGTAATGCAACTGAAATATATAAAGAAAAAGAAAAAAGAAGAAACAGTGTGTGCTCGTAAAAGAGAACGGCGGAAGCACAAGCATTCGCAGTTTGTAAGAACGAAACATGTAAAAGTGTTGCTGCTGATTTCCAACCTTCTTCCGCTCGCTTTTACAATCAATCTCCCATTTCCCTTGTTCGATTTAGATTTTTTTCAATTGGTGATTTCGTTTCGCTTTGCTTCGGTTCGTATTACTTCATCACAGGCTTGTGGATTTTGTTTCGAGGTTCTTTTTCTTTCAGATCGTCTTTTCTAGGTACGTTTTCCTGAGGCCGTTCTTTTTCTATGAGATGTAAGCTTTTTTTTTTTTTTTTTTTTTTTTTTTAATTCTTTTGACTTTAAGGGATATATTCTTTGTTTTATTTTTCTTTCAGATCGTTGCCGATAGTGATTTTTGAACTGAGATATGTTTTTGATTTTCAGAATAAGTTCTTAAAATTGTACTGGTTTTTAAATTCAGTTCTTAGAATCCAGTTATACAAACTGTTCAAAATTTTAAACAAGATTGTTTCTTTAAACCAGTCTTAATGGTCTTTAAACCAATTTTTCAAGCTGGTCCCGTTTTTTGAACCTAATCTGAACTGTGCCGGTTTGAATCTAGTTCTTTAATCCAATTAACTGAACTGCCTATGATAATCTATAACTGGTTCATTTTCAAATCTAGTTATCTGACCTGATTTCTTAAACATTTTGTTTTATAAACTCAGTTTAAATGAGCTGTTTTCTTACCTGCTAGCTTTTTAAATCTAGTTTGAACTTTAAATGGATATGCAATTTGAATGTTCAAACCAGTTTGATTTTTAAACTAGTTCTGAATTATGAACTGTTTTTAATACCCAGTTCTGGATTTAAACAAGTTATCCGAACTGTTTTAATCCACTTAGGTTTTTAAATCCATCACAGTTAACCGAACTGGTTTTTTAATCCAGTTAACCGAACTGGTTTTTTAATCCAGTTAACCGAACTGGTTTTTTAATCCAGTTAACCGAACTGGTTTTTTAATCCAGTTAACCGAACTGGTTTTCTAATCCAGTTAACCGAACTGGTTTTCTAATCCAGTTAACCAAACTGGTTTTCAGAACCGGTTAACCAAACTGGTTTTCAGAACCGGTTAACCAAACTGGTTTTCAGAACCGGTTAACCAAACTGGTTTTCAGAACCGGTTAACCAAACTGGTTTTCAGAACCGGTTAACCAAACTGGTTTTCAGAACCGGTTTTTAAATCCAGTTATCCAAACTGGTTTTTAAATCCAGTTATCCAAACTGGTTTTTAAATCCAGTTATCCAAACTGGTTTTCAAATCCAGTTGCCCAAACTGGTTTTCAAATCCAGTTGCCCAAACTGGTTTTCAAATCCAGTTGCCCAAACTGGTTTTCAGAACTGGTTTTAATCCAGTTATCCGAACTGGTTTTTAAATCCAGTTATCCGAACTGGTTTTAAATCCAAACTAGTTATCCAAACTGGTTTTAAATCCAAACTAGTTATCCAAACTGGTTTTTAAATCCAGTTATCCAAACTGGTTTTACGAAACAGTTATCTGAACTTGTTTTTAAATCCAGTTATCCGAACTGGTTTTTAAATCCAAACTGGTTTTAATCCAGTTATCCAAACTGGTTTTTAAATCCAAACTGGTTTTAATCCAGTTATCCAAACTGGTTTTAATCCAGTTATCCAAACTGGTTTTTAAATCCAGTTATCCAAACTGGTTTTTAAATCCAGTTATCCAAACTGGTTTTACGAAACAGTTATCCGAACTGGTTTTTAAATCCAGTTATCCAAACTGGTTTTACGAAACAGTTATCCAAACTGGTTTTACGAAACAGTTATCCGAACTGGTTTCCATAACTGGTTATCCGAACTGGTTTCCATAACTGGTTATCCAAACTGGTTTTAATCCAGTTATCCATAACTGGTTTTAATCCAGTTATCCAAACTGGTTTTACGAAACAGTTATCCGAACTGGTTTTACGAAACAGTTATCCAAACTGGTTTTAAGGAACAGTTATCCAAACTGGTTTTTAAATCCAGTTATCCAAACTGGTTTTTAAATCCAGTTATCCAAACTGGTTTTACGAAACAGTTATCCAAACTGGTTTCCATAACTGGTTATCCAAACTGGTTTACATAACTGGTTATCCAAACTGGTTTTAATCCAGTTATCCATAACTGGTTTTAATCCAGTTATCCATAACTGGTTTTAATCCAGTTATCCAAACTGGTTTTAATCCAGTTATCCATAACTGGTTTTAATCCAGTTATCCATAACTGGTTTTACGAAACAGTTATCCAAACTGGTTTTACGAAACAGTTATTAAATCAAGTTATCCAAACTGGTTTTTAAATCCAGTTATCCTAACTGGTTTTACGAAACAGTTATCCAAACTGGTTTTACGAAACTCCGAACTGGTTTCCATAACTGGTTATCCAAACTGGTTTCCATAACTGGTTATCCAAACTGGTTTTAATCCAGTTATCCAAACTGGTTTTACGAAACAGTTACCCGAACTGGTTTTAAGGAACAGTTATCCAAACTGGTTTTTAAATCCAGTTATCCAAACTGGTTTTTAAATCCAGTTATCCAAACTGGTTTTAAATCCAGTTATCCAAACTGGTTTTCAGAAACAGTTAACTGGAACCAGTTATCCAAACTGGTTTTTAAATTCTGTTATCCGAACTGGTTTTAAGAATCCGAACTGGTTGGGTAACTGGTTATCCGATCTAAACTGGTTTTAACTAAAGTCGGTTATCAAATCCGAAGTGTTTTTGAAATCAAGTTAACTGGTGTTTAGTTATCAAATCTAAAGTGGTTTTGAAATCAAGTTATCTTTTATCTAAATTGTTTTTTGAAACCAGTTATCCAATCCGTACTGGTTCTTATGGGAGCTCTTTATTCTGCTTGCTTGTTTCTTGGGGTAAACAATGCTTCTTCTGTACAGCCGATTGTTTCAATAGAAAGGACAGTATTTTAGAGAGAAAGCAGCAGGAATGTACTCTCCATTACCATATGCTGCAGCCCAGGTAGGTCTCATTACAACACTTAAAATTATCACATGGCTAATTTTTCAGCTAAATTATTTACTTATAATGATTGTTTTTTCAGGGGCTTATAGAAATCCCATACATTGCTGTTCAGACATTGGTGTTTGGCTTGATAACATATTTAATGGTCAACTTTGAGAAGACTGCGGGTAAAATATCAACTTTCCATATATTCATATATTAGTTGTTTTATATGTTTGGAGATTTCACTTCTAATGTAAAATTGTAACTATTGCAGGGAAATTTTTTCTCTATCTATTGTTCATGTTCCTAACCTTTACCTACTTCACCTTTTACGGAATGATGGCGGTTGGTTTTACAGCTTCACAACAGCTAGCTGCTGTTATTTCTTCAGCTTTTTACTCCCTGTGGAATCTTCTTTCCGGTTTTCTTATCCCAAAAACGGTGAGTAATGCTATACTGAGAAATTTTTGAAGTTTCATTCTTTTTAAATCTTTCAAGTTGTTACTGAGATGCCTTACATTTAGAAAGTTGCTTTCCAAACTCAAATAAATTAGTCATTAATTTAACAGTGTCATATTAATACCTGCACGAAACAGTAGTTAGCACTCTAAATATCTCTTAGAAAAATTCCTATCAACTTTTGTTGTTCTGCTTCTTGTGATATTCCTATCAACTTACTATGTAATTTTTATCAAAATAATCAAACTACTCTGGTTGATTTCTCATTTCTGCAATTTATGTTCATTATCAATGAACTATTCTATTGATCTTTCCTATCAACTTACTATGTACTTTTTATCAAAATGATCAAACAATTGGACATTCATAAGCAAACTAAAGGCATTAACTTAAATTTTTGTAGTTTTAAACTTTAAAGGTCCGCTCTCATTTTTTCGTGGGGCAGACCAAGGTTTTATGCCCGCGCCGTCAACAATTCCCGCCTGCCCCGCCCTGTTTTTTTGTGTGGGGTAGACATGTCCATTTGCCACCCCTATTGCGTATTCATATTTCTCAATTCCATATCTTATAATTGATTTTTCTTTCAAGGATTAAGTGCCAATAGATATTTTATTGTAACATGATAATTGTCATGCTTTGCAAGTTTGCCAAGCACATGGTTTTTAATAGAGAGAATTATATTGTTGTTTCCGGCTTGCAGGGCATGTACATGTTGCCGAAGCCCTTGGGATGCCTATTCACATCTTCTTCACAATGCCATGGACGTGAGTTTAATCTGTTATAATAGCTTATTCACATTTATATATTAGCAAGATAAATTTCAATAACAAGATACAAGTTATTTTGAGATCTTGAAATAGTATTCATGCAGTACTAAAATGTTTAGTTAAAACTACAAACTGAGTTCTGTTACATTTTTTTATTATTAAATACGCAGGCCAACCTATGCGTTTCCCCACCCTTTGGCACGTGTTCCTTAAGGCGCTGGTTATTGGGTATGTTCTTTGCTGAACCAATATTTCGTAATCTGATTTTTCTATTTTTATGAATACTTGCTGGACTTCCTTATCAACATACCCATATTTCCCTGCAATTTCCAGCTGTCTTATATAATTGTGGATCTACTGATATGGTGGGGAATGCGAGGAATCATTAACGACTTCAGGAAAAGAACGTCGAAGCTTCCTCCTATCTGCGGTGGTATGTGGTTGGCTTCCACCAAAGACGGTAGGGTTGCTTTTCTCACCAATGTTAGAGAACTCCAAAACATTCCACAACCCAACACTAGAGGAGATCTTCCACTTCGTTTTCTTCAGGTCAAATCATGCACTCCATCTGTTTGTCATATTTAACTATGCTTATCTCTCTTACTAACTCTATGATAATACTAATACAGCCTTTTAAGTCTTGAAGTGAAGAAATTATACAATTTTTTTTTTAAAATTGCTAGTATTAGTATTGTTAGTTGCTAGCTTAAAACGACTTATGATCGAGTTAAGGTGAGCCGATGTTTAGATAGTCGAATGAGGGATCAAACAATTAGTAATTTATAGCCATATCGGATACGTATCTGATACTTGTATCCTGTTCGTGCTTCATTGTCTTTGAAGCTATTAGTTAAATTTTCAATAAACTTTCAGGCTCAGCAATAGTTAGTATTATGGTGAGAGTGGAGATCGAACTTTGGAACTCCTTATCACTCCTCTTCTTGCCTCCCTCATTTCAGCCACCAAGCTTGCTTTATGTCCCCATAAAGAATACAATACTAATAGCAAAACGTTAATACTAGTAATAATTTTGGTAAAGTATAAATGGTTAAACGTAATCGCATGGATAGTGTCGTGTCAGTGCTGCATAGCATATGGTATATAACTTTATTATGTAATTTTTAATATGTATTTTCTAATATTAAGTTGTTTCTAAGGTTTTATAAGTGACTAAATAATCATTTGAGTTTTTGAATATGTTAGGTGGTGTTATTATAACTTTTCAATGTATCTAAATTACAAAATCATCTCTGAATGTGTTTATTACTAGTTAGTGTAGTTCTCAAATGTGTCTTTTATTAGTTAGGTTTGATCTCACATGTGTCTTTTGTTTGTTAGTTTGGTATGAATTTACTACACAAGGATAATTTTCAAGTTCTGATGCATTCAGATGCTACAGTGACACAACTTCACACATTTAGAGACCAAAATAACTATTTAAAGACTAGTAGAGGTTTATATCTGTTTTTCTTTCAATAGTGTGTTTGCTTGGTACATAACCTAACGCAACATGACATTCATTAATGATTTATATGTTGCTTCCAACAGAGCAATAAGAGTCCAAATGGTATGGACAGTGATTGGTTTTAAATGCTGAAAAAAGTTAAGTTTGACTTAAAACACTGTTAGTTTTTGGTTTTAAATGCTAGTTTATGAATTATACTTTTGCAGGGGAACTATCTTGTTGACATTGTATTTGGTGGTACGGACAGCGTACAGCTGAACTTAAGTAAGTAATACATTCTACTGTATTAGTAGCTGTATTTTTTTTTGTAAAAGCATTAGCAATATATGTGTAAACTTGTCTGTTATTTGTCATGCAGATTTTGAAACCAGCTTTTACAATCATAGTTGATCACAAGATGAGGTGTCTTTTATTGTTTATTCGTGGCACACATAGTATTAAGGATACTCTAACAGCTGTTACAGGAATTGTGGTACCATTTCATCACACTGCAGTTCATAGGGGGAGTTAGTGACTTGGTTTTAGGATATGCACATGTGGAATGGTTGCTGTTGCACGTTGGATTGCAATGCTTGCAACTCATTGTCTCCTTGATGCACTTGGCCAATACCCAGATTATGAAGTTAAGGTTGAAGTAGAAACAGTGTTATGTTTTATTGGGAATTGATTTATTCTCTTACTAATAGTAGTATCAACAATTATGCTTTATTGGAAATTGAATATTCTCTTAATAATAAGATCAACAAGATGGTTCTCTGACATGCTTTCAAATCTTACAAAAAGTACTTTATGAAGAATATATCATAAGAGATTCCAAAAATAGTAAATCTCATTTTCTTATTATGTTTATAGACAAGATCACAATAAGCATCTATCACATTGGGAGCACATCACAATACACAAGCCTCTTGAAATTGTGAAAGAGATCACTTCTCACATGCACCTTGCTGGCCTGAAAAAATTTAGCACCTCTATCGTACCATGATTTGGTGTAATTGGGATCCGATTTCCATTTCCTTAAATGAGGGATTAAAAGAGGGAAACATTTCTCAAATGTATACTGTTATTGATGATTGAAACAGTTAGATTGGAGTAGTATTTATAGGCATCTTATCATGTGCCGCTATTGACTTAACCTGCACCACATTCTAACTAATTACAATTTACAAGGTTAGTTAGAGTGACATAGCCCTATAAAGTAATATACTCTGATAGCATGGATCGAATTAAACTATAATGTTCTATCAAAAATCATGTTTTTATAATATAAATAGAAATCAATTACAATTGATACTAATTAAACATAATTGATATGACAACTAGCAAATCTTAATGTTTGATCTCTAATTGATTAACACGGTTGATATAAATGCTAGAGAGCTTCAACATATATATTAAATGTGATTTTGATTCAAGACAAAAGGGGGTCAACCATAATGTTAGGTTGATTATTGACAATTTAATGTAATTTTTGTATGGTTAATTTGCAGGGAGTTTATATGGCTAACTTAGAACACAATTTAATGATAGTACTGCTATAGTACTGTTTAGAATTTATATGGGTTGGAGAAGTTATGGCAGGGATGTCATTAAGTTTTGTAAGTATCTGTTAAGTAAAAATATGCCATATAAAAAAGATTGCTATATGAAAAATGAAAAATAATTGTATTCAAATTTGTTATAACTAGATGCACATTAGAGAATAAGGAAAAGGGAGACAATTATTTCTAGCATGTGGTATTCTACTCTAATTTGGTTATTCTATCTCGCATGCTACAATACTCATGTGTAGAATAAGAAAATTTTAAAGAAATTAAGAACAAAAGTTATTGTATGTAGAAGATAATAAAACATAATTAATTCTATCATTTAATATTAATAAATTATAAACTTAAATTAAAAACAACTATTTTATGTAGTTGATTAAATAGTTTTTTAATCATTAATTTATTCCTAATTTATTATAATTTTTTTTTTCAATTTCTTAATATTAAAGTTTTTTTTTATTTTTTTTATTTTTAAAATTGAGAAATTTTAGAACAAAAGTATATTTTCAATATCACTGTTTTTTATTTTATGCTATCCATTTTAATATGCATATGATCCCTACCAAATTTTCTACTATTGTATAGATAGAACTAAAATGATTCGGAGATCCAAACATCACACTTTAAAATAACTAATTTTGGTGTATATACCGATCTAATTTCAGTTCTTGACAATTTTATTATTCCTCCATCACGACTCTCCTTTTTATAAGGTTACCATTTCCTCCCCCTACAACGCTAACATCAACAGATAAATCTCATTTGCTTCCAAACAGTCCTCCACATTAAGGAAGAAAACCAAAGTTGAAACATCGTGCATGCGACTTCTGCAAAAACATTTCTCAAAAATTCTAATATTAATTTGGGACAAATAGTTTTCAATTTTTAATGATCAATAAAAACTGATGAATTGCATAGTGATCTACGTGACTAAATGTTACACAATCTTTCACTTGAATAAAATGACAAACTTTAATGGTTATCATTAAAGTAAACAAATTACAATACAACATTTTTATTTTATCAACATAAACAAAGTATAGCTTTATCACAACTCATATGCTCCAATAATCTTGAACTTAGATATTATTATTGTTAGAAATTTGAGTATGATAATCATAGATAACTTCGAGAAATCGTGTTCGTACACTTTTCGAATAAAGTATTTCGACCCTATTATTTGTCTGGGTTCACAAAATCTTTGTGGGGATAATTCTTGAAAAACAATCTGCTTTTGGCAATAAAGAACAGATCAGGAATGTAGAGAGAAAGTATGATTGTTATTTTTTGTATATTAAAAACTGAGGCCAAATGACTCCTTATATAGGAGATTAATAACACAACTGTTCAAAAATTTCGAACGGGTTCAACTGTTCAGAAAATTTTCAAACGGGTTCAACTGTTCAGAAAACTTTCGAAAAATCAGCGGGAACCCAGCCAGGGGCTCTGCCCCTTGGAACCCCACGGGGCACTGCCCCGCACCCCGCCAGGGGCTTCGCCCCTTTTCAATTATTCGCATTCAATTACGCGTTGGCTTGACGAGCGTGCACTCCGCACTACCCTAACTCTTTTCCAAGCTTAACGCATAATTGCATCGGCCTACAATAAATCACATTACTACTAAAATACATTGATGATACTAAAATCACCAACAATTATTGAGTAGACCTTGTTTAAAGACATGTTAGTATGTCATTTATTCTTAAACTTTCTCACACTGAAATAAACAAATAAAATGGACTTAATTGCAACTATGGTTCCTCTATTAATTATTGATTAGGATAATTAATTTATTAATATTATTTTTATTAATAAATTATTAATTCTGGCCTGACCTTTTAGTTCCATGTCTTTGGTCCATTTTTTTAAAACACAATTGATTTGTTGTGTTTGTGTAAGATATATAAACACCAACAATATTTATAATGAAAACAATGTGGGACTCACAATTAGAATTTTCTCCAACTGATTTCTTGTTGCTCTACTGTGTAATGATTCACTTACACACTTTCTACTTCTTTTTTCCTCCATTAATATTGTACAGAATACATATACTATGTTATGTAGCTGAAGATAAGAGACTTTCCTTGCCTACAATATGTTTTGTTGCCGGCAGACAGTTTGATATACTAAAAGATAATCATGCTTTAAAACAACATCTTCTCATTTTCCGACTAAACCTCTATTAACAATGCATGCATAATGTATTTCTAGAAAAGTATTATATTGTGTGAGATGTTGGATCGAACTCTAGTATGGTCGAAGTCTGTTCGCGAGTAATGCGTGTTGTAGTCGAAGTTTGTTCTAACATGCATTAGTCAATATTGCTAGGTTTGTTAGCATGTTGAATTGGGCCTTGCTTGTAAGCCCAATTGTTTAAGTTAGCTTGTACCCTAAGTTGGCTTGTAATGGGTAATTGTTAAAAAGCCCATTAGGTTAGTGTGCTATTTTATTATAAATAGGATGCTAGTTTCTCAATTTTGAGATAAGGAAAAATAGGAAGATAAAATCCTAATTTCAAGGGAGAAAGGTTATTTTGTTATTCTTGTATACTTGTAATCTTGTTCTAAGAGAAAGGAAAGAATAACAGTTTAATAACCAATCCTTGTTGTTCCTTGTTGCTTTTTTCTTTATTAACCCTAACTCTTGTGTGTTTCTTGATAAGAAACCGTGTATACTATGTTTAACGGTATCCGATTCACAACAAATTGGTGCGGTGAGCGTGGAAAAGATGCGTTCAACAAAGTATGAGATTGAAAAGTTCACCGGAGTGAACGACTTCGGTCTGTGGCGCTTGAAGATGAAAGCCCTGTTGGTTCAGCAGGGTTGTTTGGAAGCGTTGAAGGGTGAGGCAGCAATGGACGCTGCGTTAACGGAAAAAGAAAAAACGTTGCCCAGTTGCAAGTTTTTCCACTGTATGCAGTTAATAAAGCTGCATGAAGAAAGCTAGTTTCTTGATGTTATAGAGTTAGATCCAAGGTGGAGATTTGTGAGATGTTGGATCGAACTCTAGTATGGTCGAAGTCTGTTCGCGAGTAATGCGTGTTGTAGTCGAAGTTTGTTCTAACATGCATTAGTCAATATTGCTAGGTTTGTTAGCATGTTGAATTGGGCCTTGCTTGTAATCCCAATTGTTTAAGTTAGCTTGTACCCTAAGTTGGCTTGTAATGGGTAATTGTTAAAAAGCCCATTAGGTTAGTGTGCTATTTTATTATAAATAGGATGCTAGTTTCTCAATTTTGAGATAAGGAAAAATAGGAAGATAAAATCCTAATTTCAAGGGAGAGAGGTTATTTTGTTATTCTTGTATACTTGTAATCTTGTTCTAAGAGAAAGGAAAGAATAACAGTTTAATAACCAATCCTTGTTGTTCCTTGTTGCTTTTTTCTTTATTAACCCTAACCCTTGTGTGTTTCTTGATAAGAAACCGTGTATACTTTGTTTAACGGTATCCGATTCACAACATATTGTAAAGATGCCATTTTGTCAGAATCAACACCATTCCCAAGAAAACAATTGAGAGATGAGTTGGAAGCTCAGTGCATGGAGAGTATTGCCAGATCATGGTGAGGTAGCTCAGATCCAAATAAATAGAATATAATTGCATACTAATTAGGTGACATTTAAGAAACAAAAATATTCTTCTTGTCTCCATTAATTGGTTGATTTGTTTGCTATATATATGAAATGAAGTGAAAAAGCCAATCAAAACTCAAGTATTCAAATAAACACTTGTATATTTTCACCTTCTAAACTTCTGATTTCTGAGAAGTAAAATGGAAATCATTGAGACAAACACAAAAAGCTCTCTGCATATTCGCAGCAACAGCTTACCATCCACTC